TCGAGTTACTGACGATTGGAACTCCCTTCCTAGTAAAGATGTGTATAAGAGACAGTTATTATACTATATTAGCAGTATTGTAGTTACAGATACATAAGTCCATTTAACTCTTAGTCGGAGGTGCACTTCAGGTCATTTTTGTATCATATATTCAATTAGACCGACTTAATTTGATCTGATTTATTATATTTCTTGAAAATAAAATTAGACCTTGTGTACATGGGTCAATGGTCATATCGGCATATTTGTTTTTAAAAATGGTCCAATCCAATAAACAGAAACATGTGTAAATGAATAATTTGAGATCACTATCAAGTCTCTACAGACAGTATGATAGGCATATGCATTGAAACATGTCAAACATTGAAGCATTTCCGGTCATTTGTTTAGCAAACTTTTCTATTATTCCAAATAGAAACATGAAAACATGAATATTCCGAACAAATTGGTACCAAAATTAACTTTCTACTGCCAGTGGTTGTGGAGATATAAGGATTCTATGGCTATGACTTTGAAACATGTCAAACGGCTTTTCCGGTCATATTTTAGCAAAATGTTCAAAACGAATTGGCATCAAAATTAACTCTTCACCACAGCGGTTGTGGAGATAATAAGGACTCAGTTAACTATGACATTTGAAGCATGTCAAAGGTCAAAAACGGCATTTCCGGTCATTTTGTAACAAAGTTTTTGTTGGAACAAACATAAACATAATTGTTTCGAACAAATTGACACGACAATTAACTCTCTACCACCAGTGGTTGCGGAGATATGATCACCATATGGCTACAACCTTGAAACGTGTCAAAGGTTAGAAACGGATTTTCCGGTCATTTTGTAGTATTCTGAACAAATAGACACCAACATTAACTCTCTGCCACCAGCATGGTTGCAGAGATATGACGACCTTATAGCTATAACATTTGATTCTGACCTTTTGCCCTTTCACCACATTTTGAAAATGTGTTACCAAGCCAAAAATGATTCTTAGTCCACCTTAAACCAATTTTCTGAAGTCAAATTCTCTGGACCTCAAAGTGCATACACAACCTCGTCTGGCTACTAGGGTATGATGTGTTGTGAGCGAATTTAATTTGTAATTGTCCTGTATTCTTGTTAATAATAATAATAATAATAATAATAAAATAATAATAATAATAATAATAATAATAATAATAATGATAATAATAATAATAAACAGAAATTTATAACGCGCCAATTCAAAAAACATTATCAAAAGCGCAGTTAACAATTAACCCAATTAAAGCGATTTTGTAAACAAAAATAGATGCTTAAAATACTATGATGTCGTGCGTTTGAGGCAACAACATCGATATATTTAAAAGGACTATAAAATGACAGACGCGAATAGTTTGCTTTTTAACATTTTTATGTGCTTAATATTCACACCAATGTCTTGGTATCATATAATAATACAAGATGTAATAATATCTAAATTGCTGGGCCTAATGTCAGCGTCGAGTTTCCTAGTTCTGTTATCATTCGTTAATTGAACAACTATTTAATAGTATTTAGTATTTTTAGACTGACTGTAAATGTATTAAACTTCAGAATCTACTATCAATCACTTTTTTTTATTCTTGCATTGGTTCAAATACAAGCCCCATACAAAGGCTTAATCTCGAGGCCATAAAAGCGAATGGTACGTCGTGTGTTGTTCTATCAAAATCGAACTCTAGGTTACTCGCTTGCTCGCGATGCACAGAACAGCTGATCACTGAGGCTGACAAAGGCATGAAAACAGCGCATGCGCAAAATACGTTCTATAAGGATGATTATAAATTCATAGAATTTTACCAAAATATCCTACGTTAAGAAAATACACAGCCTGCATATACACATTTATATACAACTCGCGAGCGAAGGCCTACAGGGAGGGGATCTTTAACTGAAAA